GGGATGGATGGGAAAAGAGGAAGTATAGAAGGGACTATACAGTATGCTTTGAACTTGGAATTGGAGGAGAGATGTTTGGAAAAACTTTCAAACTGTTTTTCCTATTTTTACACTAAAACAACAATAATAACAGAAGATTTCTGTGACTCCCAAAATATTTAAGGATTTGTCCCCATCACGTAATCAATCAGTTCTGCAGTGGACACCATCTAGGTGTCCTGTGATTTAATTCTGACACTACCTGGAGATAGCATCGGATCTCACAGGTTGGTGGCACAGTTCCCAAGACTGCCCCCAACTCCTGATGCCCATCACAGGCTCCAGGTTGTTTACCTGTGCTTCTGACCCACCAGCTATAGATCGGGATTCCCACCACGCCCTCTTTGGGTTGGATTAATTGGCTACAGTGGCTCACAGAACTCAGGGAAAATGTTTCCTGGTTTGATTTAAAGGATATTTTAAAGCACAGAAATAAACAACCAGATGAAGAGATTCACAGGGCGAGGTCTGGAGGGACCCTGAGCGTGGGAGCCTCTGTCTCTGTGGAGTTGGGGTGCACTCCTAGCGCATAGATGATTTGTTGCTGACCTTCCTGTCAGCTTCCACGGGTTCAGATATCTGCAAGCTCCCCACACCCTGCCTTTGGGCCTTTTATGCAGACTTAATTGATTCTCCATGATTGAAGCATGGACAACTGTTCTGAAACGTGATTGGACAAAAAGGGAATGATCTGGACCCAGCCAGGCCTGTCTGTTTGGATTATTTTGGCCTCTCTGTAGCGTTTCTTCCTCTAGGGGGTGGGGCAGGACCCTCTCTGAAATGAGGGTTTTATGACCCGCAGTCAGATTAGCGTCCTGCCAAGTGGGAGGGCAGGAGAAAGTCAGAGAAGAATTCTATTTTCTGAGGCCTGCAGCATCACAACATTATGATAAAAGACTCTACCAAGGGCTGTGGGGATTTTGAGCCAGGACCTGTGAATGGAACACAATATGTACGTATATAAAATCATAAATCACAGGAGGTGTATCCGTAACAAGTGTCCTGCTGTTGGTAAGGCAGATTTCAAGTAGCTCAGACACTGTTTTCATTCATGGAAAGGGAAACTGAAGCTTCATGTCATATTCTTCTTCCAGCTATTTCTGGTGGAAAGGGCAGGAAGAAGGACTCTGCATATGATAGGCCTTGGAGGGATGGCTGTTTGTTCCATGCTCATGACTGTTTCTTTGTTATTAAAGGTGAGTGCTCTTTGAGTGAAGAAAAGCGAGGGAGGGGGAAAGGAGAAGAGGTTACAGTTGACTTCTGTGACACAAGGGGTGGGTTGTTAAGGTTGCAGTTTGTCAACAAAGTCAGAGGAGAGAAGCAGGACGCCCAGAGTTTTTAAGAAACGTGGGTCTTCAGAGAACTGGAGATAAACTGTTAGAATCCTTACATTTATAGAACATTGTTATAGTCTATAAAATAAATTATCTAATTTAATTCTTTGTTTGTTTGTTTATTTGAGACAGAGTTTTGCTCTTGTTGACCAGGCTGGAGTGCAATGTCATGAGTTCCATTCACCGCATCCTCCGCCTCCTGGGTTCAAGTGATTCTCCTGCCTCAGCCTCCCCAGTAGCTAGGATTACTGGCATGCGCCACCACGCCCAGCTAATTTTGTATTTTTAGTAGAAACGGGGTTTCTCCATTTTGGTCAGACTGGTCTCGAGCTCCCGACCTCAGATGATCCACCTGCCTCAGTCTCCCAAAGTGCTGGGATTATAGGCATGAGCCACCATGCCTGGCCTAATTTAATTCTTAAAATAATATCAAGGTAATCACACTTTATAGATGATGACAGGGTCTCAGTACGAAGTGATATATATGAGATCACATAGATGGGATTCAAAAATTCAAGCCTGGCTGGGCGCAGTGCTTCATTCCTGTCATCTTAACACTTTGGGAGGCCAAGGTGAGAGGACTGCTTGAGCCCAGAAGTTCAAGACCAGCCTAGGCAACATGACAAGAAACTGTCTCTAAAAAAAAAAAGTATATTTTTTGTTTGTTTGTTTCTTGAGACAGGGTCTTGCTCTGTCACCCAGGCTGGAGTGCAATGTCGCCATCTCGGCTTGCTGCAATCTCTGCCTCCCAGGCTTAATTGATTCTCCTGCCTCAGTCTCCCTGGTAGCTGGGATTACAGGCACGTGCCACCACACCCAGCTAATTTTTGTGGTTTTTAGTAGAGACAGGGTTTCACCATGTTGGCCAGGCTGGTCTCCAACTCCTGACCTCAAATAATCCCTTACTTCACCCTCCCAAAGTGCTGGGACTATAGGCGTGAGCCACAGTGCCCAGCCAAAAGAAAAACAAAAAATTGTGTTTTAATTAGCCACGTGTGGTGGCACATGCCTCAAGTCCCAGCTCTTTGAGAGGCTGAGGTGGGAGGATTGCTTAAGCCCAGGAGATCAATGATGCAATGAGCTGTTAATAGCACCACTGCACTCTAGCCTGGGCAACAGAGTAAGACCCTGTCTCAAAAAATAAAAACAGAAATAAATCCAAGCCTATTGATTCCACAGCCAGTCATTGTATTGTACGTCAGAGACAAGAGGAGCTTGCCATTAGTTGCCTCTGGGAACCTAGATTCTGGGTTACACTGTCTTTAAATTTAATTTTCTCTGCTCCTTCCTCTTACAGGATACCTATAATGGGATGAGCTTTGTCTGTATTGGGGCTATCTTGGTCTTTGTGGCCTTTTTTGAAATTGGACCAGGCCCCATTCCCTGGTTTATTGTGGCCGAACTCTTCAGCCAGGGCCCCCGCCCAGCTGCGATGGCAGTGGCCGGCTGCTCCAACTGGACCTCCAACTTCCTAGTCGGATTGCTCTTCCCCTCTGCTGCTGTAAGTAAACTCAACTTATCTATGTATCTATCTATCTGTCTATCTATCTATCTATCTATCTATCTATCTTTTTTTGAAACTGAGTCTCGCCCTGGTGTGCAGTTGCCCAATCTCAGCTCGCTGCAAACTCCACCTCCTGGGATCAAGCAATTCTCCTGCCCAAGCCTCCTGAGTAGCTGGGACTACAGGCGTGCGCCACCACCCCCAGCTAATTTTTGT